AACCGAAGATCGCCCAAGTAGAACACTTGAAGACTGATTCCACAGCCTGCGACAGCGCCAGCACGGCCAAATTCTGCAGCGAGATGTCCATATCGCTGCACAAGGAAAACGTTGCCGCTGGCAGAGCCACCACATCAAGGCCTGCGCCACCAAGTCCGGGCGCGAAGTGACGCGACCAAAGTGGCAATTCGCAGGCAAGAGAAACAGCCCCTGCCCCCCCCCCCACATAACTTTTTGTTTCACCATTGACCTTTCCACAGCCGTTGTATTTTGGCTCAAGGCCTTTTCTTTTCACACTGATGTACTGCACATTCTACAGCACAAGGAACAGGAACTAGCGTATAATCCCACACAGCGCAAACCACAGTGTAGCCAGGGACATCCAGATCAACTCCATCCAGTATTGACATATTGGATACTGCTTCATGGAGCGCAGGCCGACCAACAGGCTTCCTTGAAAAAACAGTCAGCTTATCGATGACAGCCACGCAGCCGCCATCGTACGACCGAAAACTCAGCTGGTTTAGATATGAAGAACTCGTAGTGGATTGGACAACATTCACCACGATCGAAGCATCCAAGAGAGGACCTCTCCTCAAGAGCAGAGCAGCCTCGTGGGAGATCACCGAAGGAGTCAACTTATTCAAGGACATGCTGAAGAGGTACTTCTTGACAGGTACAACCAACGTCTATGTGTACAGATTCCTCCGCTTTTTCAATCATGGACGACAGGACACGGAGTTCCTCATCTTCACATCAAAATTTGAACATATACTTGTTTTATCCCACGCCGCCGTCACATCCACCTCACGGTGTGTCACCAGACAGTCCAATCGACCCACCCTCGCTGCCGCCTCACGACAAGCCGCGCGGAGCCGCGGGCAAAACAGGCAATTTGTGAGGGGCAACGTCTGTACTGTCGCATCTTGAGCAAGATGAACCGACTCCACCATTCGAAGAAAACTGGGAAGAAGAAGAAGAAGAAGCCAGATGATGAATTACCTCAACCTTCATTCGCCCAGGAACGAACCTGCCTATTCATCCGGCATTCATCCGAACAGAACAATCCAGTCAATCTATCAATGCAATCCGATAGTGAGGAGGTACACATTCCTCACATCCCAACTTCATCGGGCACTGGAAGTTCACAGAGAACCATGAGACACACTGACCAAGAAGATGGAGAACACAAGACGTTTAGAGGACAAGAGCATACGATGATCCGGCAGCAGACCTTGTTCTCGATGAAGCACAATGGTCGTACATGACACCCGACCAAAAGATCCGTGCTAGTACAGGATCCTGTTCGGTTCTGAGAGAGATTGAAGGAAACCCTGCTGTACAAAAGGGTAACAGGAACCTTCAAACCGACCTATCAGTCAGGATTCTCTCATGAGAAACACACCGAAAAGAACCATGTTGATCAGTTGCGCAAGAACATGACAGACGATGACCAAGCACTTTCAGTCTTGCACTCATCCAAGCAAGCCTCCTTGTAGGGCTACTGAGACAAGAAGCAGTTCCTTGAAGCTAAGCTTCTGGAGTGCCAATCAAGCTTGATAATGATAATGAAGTGTTCGACCTAGTCGACACGCGTAAGATCAACGTCAGGAACTGGGTCACCGGTCGCTGGGCCAGCCGAGCTTGAAGTGGGCCACACATTGGCGCACGCATGAAGAAGTCTGCCTATCGCAAACACCTACCGGCCAGTGAAAAGAAATCATCCAACACATTCGATTTAGAAGGAGCCGTTGATTACCTCATGGATCCTGTGTCAGGTAACAATGCCCAGACTCCACAAGTTCATAGAGCACGTTCTCTTCATGTACATGATCTTCTCAGTTATGACAGGTGACGATGTGTTTGAGAAGAAAACCATGGGACGACTGCGTAAGGAGTTTCAAGCCCCGAAAGCAAGAATGATTGCCTTTTCGTAGGACAACGCGTCCAATGGAAGCATGACGACAAGCGCGGTTGGCACGTCAATGTTCATCAGAATGCTGCCTTTGACAAGAACTTGAAAGATGACACTCCGCTCACACCTCAGATGCATACTCAGAAGCGCCCGAAGTCAGATCAACGCGAACACAGTTCCACATTGGTTGCCAATTCTCCAAACGCGCATCCAGAGCAGCATCACCAACCATTGCGGATGTTGGCGCTATACATGCAACAGTCAGAACCATCAAAAGCATCCCGCTTAGCATGAGATTCTGGCCACTCCATGACACGCATAGTTGGTTGTCCAGATGCATCCTATCGCTACAATGAAGACAAGTCACCCCAACGAGCGCATGGTATCTTTTTTTGCAGAAGAACAAGGTCTTTGCAAGGGCTCATCGAACTCGAGAGGCTCACTGATCAAGTACGAGACGCGTAAGATAATCGCTGCAACACCGTTGTCCACAACACCGTTGTCCACAACTATGCTGAGTTGCACATTCAAACACATCAACAATGAGATGCTTATGAACGGGTCATGGTCATGTGACTCCGACTCACACTGTCCACTGGCGGTATACAGAAGCAAAGGAACGAAGCGTTCAGCGAGCACGAGAGCAAGAACACGACCACATGGGACTCCTGGCATCAGACCAAGCATGGCAGCACAAGGAGTCCTAGGATGCGACTTTCGCCTCCTTTAAGCATGTGTCCGACCTCCTTGTCTTAAGAACATGCCAGTTTTGTCAATCAGAACCTCGAACAATTTATCACCGAGGTTTCCGTCGCTTGTACAAAGCCTTTGCGCACACCTTTTGATACATCTATGTATCCGCCATCTGTACAAAGCTTTTCCAGTTGCCCAGAACGAACAATCACCAGAGTCAAAAAGAGAGCGAATAGTTTCTTTTCGACATGATGTGCAAAACCAGTCGCCACACACCATTCAAGGCGGCGGCTTTAATTGGCTACGGCCAAAGGCCAAGCAGCCAATATGACAAAAGTAATTCGGTGCGAAAGGTAAAAAGAAAGGTGTCTGCGCTTTGCTTCACTATTGACAGCCGTTGTATTTTGGCTCAAGGCCCTTTCTTTTCACACTCATGTGTTGCGCATTCTGCAGCGCAAGGGGCAGGAGCTATGCGGACCGTCTTCAGTGGTGTAACCGGGGACATCCAAATCAACTCCATCCAATATTGACATATTGGGTACTCCTCGGAAGAGATCCAGGGAGCAATAAAGACTCTCAACTGTGACAGGGTACCGGTTCCTGCGGGATAATGTTGGATAGCGATTAGCATAATGGGAGTGAATACAGAAAAAATCTCAAAATTATTCACCCTCCTGAAAAGCAAACAGGGCAGGCGTTACAGAAAAAAAGACTCGGCCCGAAATCACGAAAATATGTTCCTTTCCAAGAATGGATTACTTTTGAGGGTTGAAACGTTTGAGTCCAACGCCACGCTCCAAGGACAGCCTACCAAGAAGAAAGCCCCGCTGTTCTGGTAAAGCCAGACATGTCCAGAATCTCTGGATTGCTTCCTGTCCCAAACCACCAAATTCCTTACCAATCCCTTTACTAGAAGATGCACCCTGACAAATTTTCAAGGGGGTGGCACACGGAACCTGCAGGAAGGCAATAATGCAGTTTGCTTAAGGGTAGGGAATTGTGAAAAATTGGCAAGGGCAGCCTGCCAAGAAGAAAGCCCCGCTGTTCTCAGGTAAAGCCAATACTAGACCAATACTAGTGAGTCAGCTCTCAATCGAATACTGAACCAATACTAAACCAATTCTAAACTGTAGTGAGTCAACTGAAAAGAATACTGAACTAATACTAAACCAATTCTAAACCGTAGTGAGTTCTAAACAATACTTACTGGATGACTACTCAGGCAGGTCCCAGTCTGACCCCCATTAAATTTTGGGGTTTTCGCTATTGACCTTCCCCAATTCGTCTGGGGGGGGGGGGGGGGGCTTTTACTAATCTCCAACAACTCACAATTCCCCCGGCCTTCCACCAGGCCGGTGGCCAACACCAGGCTGCGGAGAATGGGTGGAGGCTCCTCTGAGCTGGACGCGCTTGAGTCCAAACTGGGCTGCTGATGTCGAGGCGACCTTGGAACAGCGGTCCAGTTTCGCATTGCCGGTCTGACGATACAAAAAGCCCGAGACGCCTCGGCCGGGCCCCGAACCTGTCGGCAGTCTTAACCTTCAAGCGCTTCTCCTTGAGCACAAACTCTCTGAAAGTTGGGGGCCGGTGACTGGCAAAGCTGGGCTGGGGCGCTGGGGCTGCGGCGGAAAGCTCCGGGGCTGCCAAAGCCAGTCTCAAGTAGTGCAGGCGCTGCTCAGCGGTCAACATGGCCTCCGTCAGTCGCCCTCTGTCAACAAATCAAATGCATTTCTCGCCTCTGGGGAAGGCAGATCCGTCGACCCTGGCGGCTCTGTGGAGCTGGATGAGGCACTAGAGGGGGCATTCCGGTCCTGTCAATTGAGGCCCGAAGGCCAAGGAGCTAAGGAAATCAAGGCACCAGTCCTGCATGCGCTTTAGGATAAAAAGCGCATCATCACTGAGCTCGAGCACCTTGACACTTTCCACGACTTGCTCGACTTGATCTGGAATAGATTCCTGGCACATGGGCACAACCTGCGCGTTGCAAAATGACAAACCGAACTAGTGCTGCAGCAAGCCCGGCCTCATCGCAAACGCACGGATTAGATTTCATGTGGCTGCTTTAGCGTGACCTCTGGGCCATTCACAGCCCGACACTTGCCTAACAGGCAGGGTCAGGGTCAGGCCACTGCTCTTGCGGAAACAGAAGTGGTGAGCCGGTAATTACCTGTTTGCAAGCTCGATGCGTGTGAGTGCAGGCTTTGTTCTTTACAGAGGTCACGTCTACGCCTTTTCTAAGTGGATCTTATGTCCAAGAGCCGCAATACGGCTGCAGGAGGGCATACAATGAGCAAGTCCGCTGAGTTGGCTTCCCAAGCCGAAACATGCAGATTCCATCCCAATCCTGCAAGATATCCTGCAAGATATCCAAGTCACAAGTTGATCTTTCGGCCTGGACGTGGCTCGCGGTGGGCTTCCCGTCCACCTGGGAGGTGATGACCTCGAAGGACACCACCGAGCCCTCTGCCACAGCCTGACGTGGGACGGGCGCCGGCGCGGGCGCGTGTCACGAAGGGAGGGCGAAGCCTGCGCATGGGGACCTTCAGGGCCGCCTTCAAAGCGGCTCTTGTGGACAAAGACCTGGCCAGTCCCCGAGTCCCCGAAGCCATCAGGGCTTCTAGATTCTATATTCTATATGCTATGCTCAGTGACTCACTTGGCCTCTTCCACCAGGCCCGAGCTTGGCAGAATCTTGCCGAAGCCTTTCTCCTTGCCTCGGCCGCTCTGGGGGTCGCAGGGCCGACAGGGCGGGCAGGGCTGGCAGGGTCCGCAACAGGCAGAAATCTGTGAGCGTCCGGCTGAACCACTTCACGCGGCCTTCAAAGCGCGGCGGGCCTCGGGGAGCATCTGACGGCTGGACAGCCGCAACTTGACTGGCAGCTTGACATGACGCAAGTCGCCTCTTTGCCACGATCCAGCGACTGCAGCCGCATTTCGCCCACTTTAAGTGGCCGCTCAAGTATGATTTCTGGACAACTGCTGAAGACATGCACGAATCCAATGAACACACAAGGTGATCTTACGAGCGCATGGCCATATCTTAGAGGATTTCACGATTTCAACTATGGCCTTCGATGCATGAGCTGCATTCAGCTCTGCACAAAGCCAAGTGGCATGACTGTTGCCACCTTTCCGTGGGTGAGACGGCTGAGCAGTGACCCACACCTGTTTGGTTTCTCCCGTCTGCGCCTTGACAAACCCCACACGTCACATTACAAAGATAGATTGCAAATTGCCCTGCATGGTGTGTGCCATTGCTCAAACACTTCCAGTCCGTTCACAGGTCAATGTTGGCCCTTCCGTCCTTTCACTGTGCTTGCAGGATCTCTGCCTGGCACTTGAAGGATATGCCACCCACTTTCACACAACTTTGGGTCGCGAGTTGTCTGCTCTTGTTGATTGCCTTGTTCAGGCACCACATGTTGTGACTTCCGGGTCTGGCCAAACACCCGGCTTTGGCCGCTTGGATATTGTAACCCTGGTAAATGCTTCTAGTTGAGCACTCAGCCCAGCCAGGCTGCCCCAACCCTGTGGCTGCCCTGATAGACAATCAAACCCTACAGTGGCCCTGCCTAGATGCTCGTGGCCGCCGCCGGCCACGCTGCCTCCTGCGGTTGAGGCAGGGTGGCGCGCTCACCTCGGGCACTTGCTCCGACATGGACATTGAACGTGCGGACTGTTAGACTTTGAGGCTGTGAGACGGGGGGGAGACTGTGACTGTCTGTGACTCAACATACGAAGAATGCCCCAGCGACCCAAACACTGTGTCAGCCCAGGCACTGTGTGGACCGCGCGCGAGCGCATCGGCATTACCGTGATGAAGGTCCTCTGCACGGTGATGTCCCACTCACACAGCTCCGACTCTGCCCCTGTCTCAGAAACTGCTGTCGTGCCCTGAGCGGTGCTCTCATTTCGGGTGCGCTGACTTGGTGCGGGGTCTGCCTCAGTGCTTGAGGCGACCGCTCGGACCTCTGTCGGTGATGCCTCGTATTCCCGTAGCGCGGCTGCTGCCGCTGCTCGGTTGGCCACCTCGTTGACTGAGGCCGGGCCGGGGCCGCGTTGAGCTCCACGCACGGCCAAAGCCGCGCTACGCCCCGCGAGCACCGCAGAGGCCGCCAGGCGTGCAGCAGCCACACGGGCAAGGTCCCCCATGGCTCACATCTCGCAAGCGCCAATCTGAGCCGAAGCTGCCAAAAGCGCGGAAGAATGTGCAATGTGTAGCATGACATGACATCTGGCAAGCTGAGATCCAATCCAGCTGGAACTGGCACGGGGACCTGCGCCAAGTTTGCAAGCTGCTTGGGGGAGCGACATGCACACCCTCGCGCCTGCTCCGCCCCCTCCAAGCGTGGCTTCTTCTCGGGTGGCCTTCAATGTCTGAGCTCTGCCATGTCCGAAGTGTGCACACAATGACGGGCCCTTACTGAGGATGCCACTCGCCGTTGGTCATGGGCACATCTGTGAATTGGTCCGAACTGTCCCCATTCATCGGCAAGACCTGCCACAGCTCTGCACAGCTCTGCAGCTTCAGTACCCCCACGTTCACGAGCATTGCATGCCCGTCTGAGCGCCAGGCTCGCTGCAAGTCCCGACCTGGGGTGCGATGGAACATGGTTCACGAGCCTGGCAGGGCCAGGGCTGCACGTCGAAAGTAGAAGAAGCTGTTGTTCGGCCCCTTCACCTGCAAGGATCTGCAAGTCATAAACTTCGCCAGCTCAAATCGAGCGGCCTCTCTAACGGCGCCATCAGCACGGACTGCATACTTGTCCTCCAAAACATAGGCCTCAGCTTGGCTCCTGACCTTTCGGAGTATGAGCCGAGAGCATGGCCCTGGTGACAACGCCCTGGCGATCTCCGAAGATCACAGCCTGAGGCAAGCTCACAGGGCGTACGACTGAAATCTTCTGAACCTGCAGGTCACATGCCTCTCCACGCTGAAGTGGCTGCTCCTCAGCCTCACGGCATCTCACATGTCGCAGCTGCCAGGAACTCATCTCTGGGGTGGGCACCGACCCGTCCGGATCTGCCATGGGCACAGCCATCTGCACCACATGGCGGGGGCCACATGGGCCAATTAGGGGCCAAAACTGGGGGAGGGTCTTGTGTGACACTCATGGTCTGACTTGAGCTGTCCGGGTTTGTCGCTTTGTGTCAGAGGATGTCAGAGGGCAAGTTGACTACGTTGACTAGGTTGACTAAGTTCACTGGGTCGAATGGGTCGCATGGGTCGAATGGGAAGGGTTCGACTTGATAGCCCGGCCCGAGGCCCGACATCCCATCCCTGCCTTGAGAATTGCACGATCCACGCGTTCATGTGCCACAAATTGCTAACTCGCGTCGCACGCTAAATTCCGACCCGCGCTTCGCAACTGCCCGCTCCATTTTACCCAAGTGGCCCATCTGCCCGACTGCCTGCAGCCGTATACTCCAGCCTGCCAAAATCCGCCAAGCAGCAAATCGCTTCTGGAGCAGCTTCCTAGGCTTGCCTGTAGCGCTTAGATGCCGCATCCTCGGCATCAAAGAGGGCGGAACCAAAGGCTGCTGCCTGGCTGCTCGAGCCGAGCCCTCTCGACAAATGCAGCTGTATTACAAAGGGTGGAATGGGCGCATCAAGGATCAAGCAAAAACCTGGGGCAATGCGCGAATTCCTGGGGTCCAACATCAGGCACCAGAACCCGGCCTCCAAGCTGAGGCGTCTGCGAGACTCATCTGGGCAAGGCGCCAAAAGGCAAACAAGCTGCGACAAAAACTGTCTTGGGTCTGGCGCCTGACATCTCGAGCTGCGCCACCGAGTCAGGGCCGTAGTCCAGCTGCTTGAGAAGCTCCATCTGAAGGGCGGCATCCAACGGAAAGCCAAACCAAATGCAAAAAGGCAACCACTGGTTGAAATCCCCGGATCAAAATCCCCTCAGGCTTGGCATCGCCATCAAAGGCAAAGACTTGCAACAACTCTAGCTGCGCAGAGCGGCCTGCCAGGGAGGGCAAGCACAAAGTTTCCCTGATTCCAAGAAACCTGCCCGTGTGACAAACCGCTTTGGAGCTTGATGGCGATCGAGAGAGAGAGAGAGAGAGAGAGAGAAATAGAGAGAGAGAGAGAGAGAGAAATAGAGAGAGACTTCAAGGGAGTGTGTCCAGAGGCCTTGTCATAATTTGGTAGGTGTTCTTCGCAGCTTAGCGGTTGTGAACGCTAATGCCAAGAATGACATCTGGCTTCCTGCCCTTTGCGAGGCAAGCACAACAAGGCAAACAAGTCTCTCCGATACAAAAGGCAGCGGATGAACGAAATCAGCGATGCTTGCTCAGGTGCTCAGGCGTCCAAAATCTGCACCAGCCAGGGCTCACATATCAATCAAAACCAAACCCTGCCCTCGAGAGTCGGCCCTTCATTCACCCAAACGCTGCTTTCCCCAGGGCATGGACAAATTCCGGGCCCGAAAGCCGAAAGCAGCGTTAAACATTCAGGCTGAAATAAAAAGGGCAAGGAACATGAATAACTGAATAATAATAAAGAAACCGGAACCATTCAATGATTCAATGCCTCGGACCCGAAGAGCTCGTTGGCGTGGTGCTGCACCGCCCGCTGCGCCTCCCTAGTCGCCTGAGTTGCGGTCCCAGACTGCCAAAGACTCTTCAAATGGAAGAAGAGGAGCTCTCAAAATATGCCCCATGCGAATGGCGGTGGAAAGGACCCTTTTTGCCATGTTGAGTCACATAGATGAGTTGAGCGGAATTTTGTACAAATAGCAAACTCCCTTTTTGCCTCTTGCTCGGGTACACTGGTCATGGGCCCATCAGGGTCTTGCGGCTACTCCGAGCCCACTATGTGGTGGTCGTTCTAAATTCCTTTGTCTCGAAACGGCCACTCTTCGCGAAAAATACGCTGCATTGCTCGCAGGTTCAAGAACCAGAAAGCCCAAGATCTCCAGCACAAAGGGTATATGAAGTGTGCTTCCGGAGCTCCGGGTGGAAATCGGAAAGCGCAAAATGAACTTCTGCAGCTTCGGCCGGCGAGGCAGAATTGAAACGGCGATTCAGAGCGGAGCTGACAAAGAGCACCCGTAGAGCACTCACCCACCAAGCAGAAAATCGGACACGGAGTTTAATTAGTTCGTATGCTCCGTGGTGTCGCATTCAAATTCAGGGGGGGGGGGGGGCAACCCAGCAAACAGGGGGTGAAAGCAAACTGCTTTCATATCTCAATGATTTACAGACATGTAAAACTTTCGCGAAAAAAGAGCCATCGACAAATCTTTGAAGAAGGCATCTCAAACAACAGCGATGGTCGCCGAATACTAAACTCCTTACAAATACCTTTAGAACGTCAATACTCCCTTATCTAATGCTTCCATGGACGAAGCTGCCCGAATCATCAGGCAGCTGGCAACATACCCGGGCTGCAATGTCTCACGCTGGCCCCCCCCAGGAAGGGGCCAATGACCCGACGTTACAAAGGCGATGTGCCCCCTCCCCTTGCCATAATTTAGGCCCCTGCAGCGCGGGCCAGCTCCACGGCATCGTTTGGCTTGAGTGACCTCAGGCGCCATCCCTCACAGGTGAACGAGATTGGAGTGCATGCTGGGTATGCCACCCAAGCCAGTTGGACAAACTCGTCTGCCCTGCAAATCGACAACAAGCAAGGCAACATCGAGTCAAAAACTCAGACGTACTCACAGGACGGCGCAAGTGCTAGGACAAGTCCAGCACGTGGAACTAGGCCTTGCCTCCCCCCAACTTCCTCTCGAGCTCCAGCCCTTCAAGGAACAGCCGTGCCAAACGCTACACAGTTGTTGAATGTCAAAGGCGTATCTGAGGAGCCCCGCGCTGCTTGCCGCGACGCAGGAAGTAGCCGAAGCGAGCGGCAGAGATGAAGTTCTGCCGGGCCAGCAACACCTCATCCGACTCGCGCGACTTCTCCGGGTGTTTCACAACCCGAACACTGCAAGCGCCCTCCTTGGGAGCACGTCGCAAGCGGGGAGAGTGAGGCCACCACGCTGCCCCGGATGGCCTCCTGCATCCCTTCCTGGCAAGAAACGCAGCAGGAGCCAGGTACACCGCAGGCCAAATGCAAAGCTCAAAGCAGAGATCTAGGAAAAGGTCTCTACCTGAGGGCCGAGGCCCCCGGCTGTCTCGGCTTCAATCTTCTCCTTGGCCTCCACGGCTGCTTCCTTGACCTTCACACCCACAGTCCCCGTCCGAGGCGTCCCATGCGCCTTGCACGTGCATAAGCGCCGAGTCCTCTGTCTTGCCCGCCACCTCGTCGAACCGTCGAAGATACAGCTCTGCCTTGGCCGCTGCCGTCCCAGGCTCTCACCCCAAGGCCGGCACGGCCTGCCAGAAAGACCGGCCCGCGTCTGAGAGAGGCTCCACCTGTCAATTGCATTCAATTTGCTTGTGGAAGAATGCAGAATGTGAGTGAATGTGGGGATCAGTGGCGATTTGCCTTCGACAAGAAGTTGAAGACCAATCCGGTCTCAGAACCGAGAAAGTCGAGCAGCGCATCCTTGCGGTGAAACTGCTAGGGGCGAGCTTGTGCATCGGAGAATCGCCCGATGTGCATCTGTCCTCCGCTCCTCGAAGAGGAGGGATGTCTAAGTACTTGGCTGGGATGGTGTAGGGTCGGAGCCTGGCGCCAAAATTATGGGAAAAATATGGAAAGCCTTCCAGCGACACGAGCCTGTCAAGCGCGCTGCCGGCCATCAGGGCTGCAGCCCGCCAGCTGCGCTGGCAGAGCGCAGTTTGCAGTGCTGGCAGATGCTTGCAGTTCCCGTAAATTGTGGAACCTTGGAGCCCGCCTCATCCTCGCTTTCTGCGTCACCTGGAGATCGAGCAGCACGAAACGCTGAACACGACCGATGCGACGCTCTGACGCACGCTGACCGACCTGAGGTACCAACTCTCAGCCTCTGCCTTGCGGCTTTGGGGTGGGCACCCCCACGCACCCCGGGCACCCCCGATGCCTCGCTCCCGCGCCTCGCTCTGCAAGGCAAGCCACTGGGCGTCCGCTTCAGCCAAGGCCTCGCCAAGCGCTTGCTCTGGTTCCTCGGCAATCGACACAATGAACAATAATCAATACAAAGTTTCTCACGCAAACCTCAAGCAAACCCGGCTTTGAGTGGACCCACTGGCAAAGGGCTCCGCCAAGTATGCAAGGAAGCCCAGCATCTTGCGAACCAAAGCTCAGGCCACGGCTTCTCGCCAAAGATTCCGTTCAGCTTGGAGCCGGGTCACGGCGGACCTGAGTCCTCAACGCGGAAACGCTCAGCGCAGTGCCGAGCGCCACATGCGGCGCACGCGTGAGCGTCCTGCCCAGCGCCCGAGCCAGGCCTTGGAATCGCCCCGCGTCGCTGTCAATGCGAATGCCGACCAAGCCTGCCAGCGCGGCATGGCCAGAACGGCCAGCACCTGGCGGACTTTGGCGATGGCTCAGGGGTTCGGGCGATCAGAGAAGGGGAGGACCAAACACAGCCGAACACCGTGCCGCAGCGCCATGGCAGGCTGCAACTTGTAAGCTCCCTCCCGTTGAAGCCTCAGACCTACTTTGCCCCTGGGCGACTTGGGTACGTGAGAGAATTTGAGATCTGGATGAAGTATCTCACCCGCCATGCCTACCGAGCCACTGCGGGAGCAAACCACTTGATGCCCTCCTTTGACAAGCCTACTTGAGGCACATCGCGCAGCCGCACACATTTCAAGCGCGCAGCGCGCGGCATTCCGCGGCGCAAGGCCAGAAAGTCCAAGGAGTTCAAAGCGGCCAAGGTGATCCCTAGCGCTCTGATCGGTGCTCATGGCTTGGGGTCTTTGGCACGCTTGCGGCGCTGGTGCTCCTCAAGGGCGGTGCTTGCATCGCTGATCTGGCTCTTGTTCATGACCGTTCGCTGCTCCACCACATTCAGCTTGTCAGTGAGCTTGGAGCATTGGTAGTGGATGGTCTGGAGATGCTCCATCGCTCGACTCACCTCCTGCTGCAGCTCTTCATGAAACTGGTCCGCTGGCTGCTGCTGCACCAGCAAGCGCACGCACTGCACCTGCGCAGGCACCCAGGGTGACTGCAGTGCCTGGATGGGCAGCAGGGACATGTCCAAGGCAAGGAACATCTGGAAGACATCCTCTTCGTGCTCGGGCGTCCAAGGCCCGGGCCGGCACAAGTCTCGGTAGGTGCCCTTCAGGTACTCCAACGCCTGGCGAATGAGCGCTGCGTCCTCGCACAGGGACCAGGCAGCGAGGTCCCACAGGCCCTTAAGCCTAGGCACGTCGCAGTACTCCGCGTGTTTGTGCCACAAGTGCCTCATGATCACATGGCGCCCAAAGTGCAGAATTGGCTTGTCCAGCGCGGCCCGGCCCTCCATCATGGTAGGCCGCAGCAGCGGGATGGTGAGCAAACCCTCGTCCCAGAGGCAGGAGCCGTGCAGCTCCACCACCTGCGGCTGCGGCATGCAAAGGTCGTCCTCCATGGCCATGCGCCGCACCAGGAGCTTGTCAGCCTCGGCCGCGCCAGCAGGCAGGAAGCCTTCCTGGAACACGAAGGACACCTCAAACAACCGCCGGCCAAGGAACTCCAAGCGCCACAGCACCGGCCCTGCCCAATGCGCAGGGCACCGGCCCTTGGCATCGGCCTCGTTGGCCTTGCGGCCTGCATCCAAGCACGCGCCCACGAGGTCGTCCACCAGCTCGCTGGCGAGGATGGTTTGCTGGCAGTGCTCCCAGCCAAGGAACTTCGACAGCAGCACGTGCTCGATGATGTCTGCCAGCTCTGCCGCTGCCATCTCCCGAAATCTGCCCAGAACTTTCAACAGTGCCTTCGAGGCATCTGCATGAGAAACCACGTCTGCCAGCCAAGTTGGTGATACGGGCGCTGGATGGCTCCATGCCAGCTTCTGCACAAGCTCGCTCTTGGAAAACATGGACTTGAAGGTCTTGCGGGCACGCTCATCACTGGGGTCCAACAATAGAAGCGTTCGGATCAGCAGAGCGGACCAATTCGGGAAAAGCCGATCTTCGTCCACATACATCACCAACTCCCCGAACACAATCAGGGTTGAGTCCTGTGCAGTCTCGCACAACTCTGCCGGCAAATCCGCATGCGCCTCTTCATCCTCTTTCAACTCCCCAGCCATCTCCGCTTGCGTTTGGAGGACGTGCGATGGTGCGGCGGCTGCCAGTCGGCGCCGCATGCACCGCAGCGCGAAGAAGTGAGAGTCCCAGGAGACTCGCGCGCGCAGCGGCTTGTCCATGAGATTCCTTTGCAACACACTGGGGAAGAGAAGCAGGCAGGACACTGCTGCATCCACAAGTCATGACACAACAACGAAGACGCCCCACTACCAATATCGCCCTGTTATTCATATTATAATGTTCTGCGCCGGCAGTCTGGCTGCCTACCCCAAGCTGACACGAACCTCAATGCCGCGCCAAGCAACTTCCAAAGGGCGCTGACGGGCTGCATGGCGCTGGTGACGAAGCCGGCCTCGGCCTCGCGCTGGCGCTGGACCCGCAGCAGCTCTGAACAAACCCGGAGGCTGCCGGTGGCGAGGCGCGGGCCCAACACGAAGTCGTTGCTGTCCAGGGACTGCGCCAAAGTCAGAGCCACCCGCTCCATGGTTTGCCACATCAGCGTCTCAAAGTGGAACAGCCTCAAGAACTGCTTGCATGCGGAGGACGCCATCTCGCTGGAGCTGACGCCGTGCTCGCTCCAGCTGCCCAGAGAGTCGGACTTGGACTTCTCTTTGGCCTCGTGCTCGGAGTCCGGGCTGCTGGCGGCCGTGTAGGGCAGCACGTGCTCCAAGATCTCGGCCCGGCGCCGGGAGGACGTGGACACGGCGAAGCTCTGAACCTCGTCCAGCACCCGCGGACACTCCAACAACCAAGTGGACTCCAGCAGGTCCAGGACCGTGTCCTCGCTCACCACCAAAGCCGTCCCATCCACCAAGAACCGCACGATCCCTGTGAACCGCTCCAAACCACCCGGGAAGTCCAGCAACGGGCACTCCTTGGCATTGGTGCTCTGGATCTGCAGGAAGAGGCCAGAAACTTCCGCCAAGACATCCACGTCCACTTGCAGGCGCTCCCCATCGATGATCACATCCACCGTCTGGTGGCCTTCTTGGATCGTGGGGGGCCCCGGCCCATCCACTGACGACCCGAAAATGAAACTAAACATCGAGCGCGCATGTGGCACGAGATGCGCAAAGCTGGGCAAGGATCTGAGGTGGCTGTTCAGCTGTCTGCATCTTGAATCAGGCTTGGCTCGTGCTGTCTGTGTTTTGGCACGCCTTTATGCCTTAGTGCCTCCTGGCCAGGGTGGCAACCTGCTCCGCTCTTCCAACAAACCACCTGCAAACCATCTACAGAGCTATCTACAAACCACTATCCGTGCGCTAGTGAGCGTGCACCTGTGCGACTCAATCATTGTTGACATGTGATGAGTTTGGGCACCGGGCTGCATGTTTGCGCTTCAGCCAAAGCGAAGTGCGGCCGATCCGAAATTCCAGCATGCCCGGCGCGGTGCTCCGCACAAAGCGCAGTCAGTTGGCATCCCGCGTCGCAGGCCCCCAACAAGCGCCCTGACAAACAAAGGCTTGACAACTGTTTGGAGAGGCAAACATGGGCCCCTCAAAATGCTCTCTTGCTTCTCTCATCCTGAAAAGCGACAAAGGCAGGAGCTAGTCTAATCGCAAAAGCCTAACACCACTGCATCGCGCCAAATGTTTGCTCACCATGCCACACTTGCGTCCAGGCCCAACTGCAAATGAGTTGGCGCGACAGGCGGGCAACATGCTCCTCGATCTGTACTAGTATCTAAGTTTAGCTCTGCATTTGCTACAAGCAGAGGCCAAAGCATTAAATTCCGTTTGGGGTTCCTGAATGCAGTGCCAATCTCTAGGTTGGCAGAAAATAATTAAGGCCAGCGGCCATGGGCTGGCCGCATCTGCAAATGGCAAGAATTCCCTGAAGCGTGGCGCTTGCATTTCAACCTCTCCGTTCCACCCAAACCGCTGCACATCAGCGGTTCGCCGGATCGACATCGTCGCTCATTCGCTCAGCTCATCTTCAGCATGGCCAGAAGCTCCCGGGCGCTCCGCTGGGCGTCCAGCACCTCCTCAGGCCCCGAACTAAGACAAATGGGGTGCTGGACGCAACCCGTGGCAACCCCACGTTCGGCAGCTCCTTGTAAGAGTTGTCGATGTACACCTGACATCGGTTGAGAATCCCCCCCCCCTCTCGCGCTTGCTTCGGTGCGCTCATATGCGCTGCGCAGGCTTTGCCCATTGCAAAAGGTCGCGGGCCTGCGGATTTGTGGCTGCGGCGGAATTCATCGAGAAGATGCTGGAATAGGCGTCAGAATCTGCGTTTTGAAGCGCCTTGCTGGCACCAGACCGGCACAGTCGTGATTCAAAAAAGTGCCATGAGCCCAGCCTTGCTGAAACGCTCCAAGGTCTCCACATAGGCCTCTGGGTCGCCGGCCTCTTCGGCCAAGGCCTTGAATGCTTTGTCCACGTCGAAGAGCGGCGAGCTCATGCCCACCGTGCCAACCTCTCGCCTGGGAGAAAAAAACGGACATGCAAACCGGCTAAACCAAAGAAGCCGGGGGCCTGATGTTGTCGCCTCCCCCAACCGCAATCTTCTTGAAGTTGTCGGGGTCCGCCAGCTCGTCCAGCTGACACACCGACAGAACTGACTTGGAACAAGACTGTGCCCACATCCCATATCTTCCCAGTCCCATCTCACATCTGCCAAACCAAAATCCGAGGTCCGAGTCTCCCCCTTTTTGTCCGCAGAAATCAACCGCGCCAAGCGCCTTCCGCATGGCCGCGGCCACCTGGTCTTTGGGTGCCGCGGCCGCGCGCGCGAGCTGAGGACCCAGCAGGGCGCCGCTGAGGACCCAGCGCCGGGGCCTGAGGAAGGCCACGCCGCCTGTCGCGCGTCACCATCGTCACCCTCTTTTCTTTAAAAAAAAGAAAAGAAATTTGATATAAAATGAACAAATGATTGCACACCAGCAACTCCAACAGCACCCTCCGAGCGCGCCAAACAGCACCCGGCCATCAATCGAGCGCCCACGAGCACCACCAACAGCACCCCAAACAGCCAGCACCCCAAACTGCACGCCCCTAGCACCAGCCCATCAATCTCGCAAATCACTTCCCCCTCTTTATTAGAAGTTAGGACCGCGATAGCTTTCAGCTATCTGGAGGAAAAACAAAAATTCTGGCATATCCACTATATTCCAATATGGCGGATGGGCTTAGAGGTTAGGTTTCAATTGGAGAAGGCCTGAGGTTGTAGATTTGTGATATGTTCTGTTAGACATTTCAGGGGTGGGTGTGGGGGGCAGGGTTTAGCGTTGGTTGAGAGGCTCAGTTGCAAAGGGATTGGGATGGGGTGACAAGATTCAGGACTGCGGTCGAGAATCCAAGAGCGATCACCAGCAGCCAGCGCCGAAACTTCCCGAGACCATGGGGCCTTCCGCTCGCCATGTCCACTTTCTTAAAATGGAATCTGAGCCGAATCCAAGTGCTGAGGTGCGTCTTGCACATCAAGAGGTCCACAGTCTGCCTCGCGTCCGACGCTTGACTTTGTATTTCCCTTCTCTTGGACAAGCCTCTCAAACGGCTACTGAGCCGACAGGGCGAACACGGCCGACAGGGCGGAAACTGCAAAGACAGCAAAGTTGGCAGGTAATTAGGCAGGCCCACTCAACATCTAGGTTGTGCGGTACCTCCTGCTCGTCAACACAATCCAATCAGGGTCACCCAGCAGGAAATTCCTCTGAAAGTGATGGATTTCTGATTTATTCATTGGCTGGGTTCCATGTCCTTCTGCAGAGAACGTTGTTCTGCGATGTTCTGCGGGACGGAGCGCCACGGAACGGGTTTGGTCTCAGGCGGGGCTTGCTTTGGCCCCGGAACGGTCAAACGGCATCCGGCAGCAGAGCGCATTGCTCGAAGCGTTGCTTGAGGCCTTCCTTATCCAGGTTCCGGCCAATGAGCACCACCTGCAGTGAGTGAACGCAGAGCAATCCGACTGCATCTGCCGAAGCGTGCCTGGGTGCGGAGCGGCTTCCTGGCACGCAAAAACGTGCGCAAACAAGGCACTGCACTGGCCAGAGCCACTCGCGAGGCCACTCCCCTGAGAAGGAGATGTCGACCATGTCGTGAACCTCTGTGCCAAAAGCGCCAAGAAATCATGCGCACGGTGGGTGAGGCCCGCATGTTTGGCCAACTCTCGCGGTGCGAGAAATATGGTTCGTGCAATTGCAGCTGTCAAATTAGCCTCACATGGCAGAACATTTGAGCCAACACTCAGCCCTGCACCCCTTGCAACACATATCGTACAACGCTGCCCTGCTGCGCAAAGGCGAGGATGCCCTTGTAGCCTTGCAAGATTCCAAGTCCCAGCGTTCGGCCTACAAAGTTGAGCGCGCGCAAAGGTCGGCCCTTGGCGCCGCTCGGTAGAGGTCTACGCTGTTCTCCAGCAGATCGCTAAGCAGATCATTGAAGCCTGGACGGCCGGAATGCAAGTAACTGGGGTCAGCTGAGACCATGGCGCACAAAGGAATGAGCAATCACTGCTTGCTATGAGCGCAGAGATAAGGCTCCGGCTCTGCACGTCCAAGGGCCTGTCCTTGATCTCCAGCACCTGCGCATGTCGGCTGGACTGTCCAGCTCAATGCGGCGTGCAAGCTGCAAAGCTTCGGGCATGGCATGGCAGCACCAAAATCTGCGTCCAGGCGCCATGGAGCCAATGTCCGTGTCATGGTGGCTGTGGCTGTGGCTATGGCTGTGCCCGTGCGAGGGATCAGTACCTTACCAGCCGAAATAAGGGCCCCCACCCCACTTTGACGGAGGCGGCGCACACTCTGGGTCACTGCAACTCGCATCATGACCTGAGCCACTCTGGCAAAACCCCACCGATCACCGACCACACAGAACAATTACTGCCAAAGCAAGCGGGTACCTGGCGCTGCCTGAGGTGTTCAGTTGTGAAATGTGGAAGCCATTTGCGTCCAAGTTCTTCCAATTCCTTGTGCCCTGGCTGCTGGCTGGCTGGCCAAGGCAACACCAGGCATCCCAAATCCCGCATGGACACATCCTGGTCACTTTGGCATGCGCATTGCCATGACCGGGCTTCTCGTGATGAATTGCCGTTCTGCTATGGGGATCCATGGGCGTGGCACGGGGAATTGCTCGCCAACGTTTGCTTTACCGACTGCTCGCGACAAAAAAGCAGCCGCCTTCAACCTGCGCAAAGTTGAAATCACGAGCGTGTTGGTGCCAAGCTGCTGTGGTCGTGCGATGGGTCTGTGCATGACGGGTCATCACACTCATGCCCGTGGTCATGATCATGACCTCAATAGGCATGCAGCATGCACTCGTGGCAAGCACATCCGCCGTTGGAGAAATGTCTGATAATTAGGTCCAAAGTCTGAAACATGTGCAGGCGACAAGAACAAATGAATTGGGTTAGGCGGCCATGGGCATCATGCGCGTGGCCGTGCGCAAGGTCCACGTCACCTGCCGCTGTCTCGGAATGCATCTAAAGATGGGGCCACAGACCTTCCTTGCTCGCTTTCTGCAGTCAACAGCTTGGTGGTGTCAAAAGCATCGATCTGAACCAACTCCTGCGACTTCCGTACAGTACTGCATACAACGCTTCAGTGTCGATGTGACGGGGTCCGCCACAGGCACAGCGTCGGGCTTCAGCGAGAGGCTGCATTCCACCACGGGGGCAAAAGCATTGACCTGGACTTGACTCACCGGGCCTAAAGAAAGGATAGAGGTCGCCGAGGGGCCGATCGAATGGCAGCAATCGTCTCCTGCACCTTGTGCCATTGTGCATTCATTCGGCTTTCCACAAAACAGATCGGCGGAGTGCCTTCTCCTGACTCACGGCATCCACCTTGTTCAGCAAAACCTCCCGGGAAGACATGGCCAGCCAGAATCGGCCCAGCCGCCCTTTGCCCTTTGCATTTTTCTACCCGGACGCAAACAACAAATGACTGCCTTATCTGCAAAGGCGACCTGCTGCGCCGGCTCGTTCACCTCAGAAACTCACGTCCGCACCTTGGTGACTTGGTGCCTTGGATGTTTGTGGTAGTCTCTCGGCCCGCCAGAGAACAAGGGCGCACAAAGTGGAACATGTGGATTTTGCAAGTTTGCTGAACATTTCCTCGGAGCAGTTGCATTGAAAATGCTGCTTGGCGCAAACTCTCTGGTTGAACAATTTGAAAAACGCCTCTCCGAATACGAAGCCTTTTGCGCCCCAAATAGGGCAGGTCCGCAGGGTCATGCAACTGGGTGATGAGTTTCGGGCTGCGCCATCGGGCCGCTCCCGGGCGAGCTGATCCAAGAAGTGCGCGGCATCCACCACTGTCAGAATGCCATCAATCTTGCAATACCTTCGAGTCGAGCGGACCAGTTATGCCAGTTCTGCCTTGTTGCCAGATTCAATGTCGTCACACCAATAGCAGGCCTTCCGGTTGTGAAGCCGTCTGGCTGTTGCAGAGTTTAGCTCTGCGGGTGGTGCTGATGATCCTGGTGATTAAGAGCTTGTCCGAACTGTCATTGTGTGGGGGTACTGGGAGGGACTTGGCGGCAGCAGAGCGTGCTGAAAACAGAAAGATCTAGGGGCCGGCACCCACACACACACACACACACACACACACACACACACACACACCCTGCCGATACTCGTCATGCACCATCACACCTCATCAATGAAATGTGCTGACAGCAACTTCTCCGCGTAGCTGGCGTGATTTTACGTTGCTGGGCACCTCAGACATTCTTGCGTGCAATACTTGGAGGTGCTTAGTGTTGGTAGAGGTTCTGTCTTCTACTGGAGCTTGACACAGAACTTTTGAGCGCGGGTGCTGGCTGCTTAAGAGCTGTCAGGATTGGGCTTGGGTGGGTAGTGTGTATTCGTTTGGAGTTGGTAGCCAAACACCAGCCCAACAATTCCCTAAAGCAAGCCCACTCATACTCAATCCCACCCCAATGCAGCCAAACCACCGCAACCAAGCAGCCAGTACACCAGCAACCCAACCAGCCAGCCAGCAACCAGCCCCGGGCGGAACATGTGAAAGGCTCAAAACCCCAGGGGCACCGGTTGACAACTTCGTCCAAGCTGAAAGTCTTGCAGACTGGGCCAGGGTCAGCCATGCCTGTGGTCCTCAGCAAGCCCAGCTGCAACTCTGAAATGTTTCAAAACACATGCCAGGCTGGCTCGATTAGAATGCCGTCAATGGCCGCGTCTTTCACTCCATTTGCCATCCTCTCCTGCCATCTTTGCCATTCCTCCACGCAACTGGCAAGCAGAACTCCTCCACGGTTCTGACGATGTCGCCTTACTATTGGGCTGCTGCCAAAGCAACTGCGACTTGCATCCACTTGCACATATCACGGGCCCGAGTTGCGAATAGCCGCCACCAAGTCGTCCCGAAGAGTGCAGCAAAGGCAGCCGTTGTCCAGCACCGTTATGGACTGCGCACTGCGTGCATCTCTCTCACTCGACGGAAACTCTCACTCACTACAGTCACTGCCTCAGGCTTTTTGAGGCTTTTGTTTGTGGCCGCTTCTGGAACACCACCAGCCAGACATCAGTGCCTCCAACATGCCTCCCCGCCTCCATGGTGGACTGGACACCGACACCTGGCTGAGGAGAACGAGTTCAAGTGGCCGACCCAAATTCACATTCGAGCACATCCCATGCAAGGCCAGCTGTCATCAAGAAGCATCTCGTCAATGGCAGCTTCGCCAAACTCATTCTCAATGACTGCGTACCTGTCCCAAGCTTCCATTGACACCTACCGCGAGCTTGACACGCCAAGCTCCCAGATGCGCACTTCTTCCCGTGCTCTGCACGCAGGATGTAGTTTAGCAGCGTGGTCTTCCCAGCGCCCAGGAAGCCAGTGAGCACCGTCACAGGGATCTTGCCGAGGGACAGGATGCCTTAGACTAAGACTCCACAAGACTCCATAAGGCTTCATGCCACGGACATTCGATCAGAAGCGCAAAGGCAACGCAAATGGCGCTCACGACCATTGAGAAACATTGAGAAACGGAAAGGCGGAGCCTTCCGCTTTTCGAATGCACTCGTCCGTGTCTAACGGCGCATAGATGGTCACGCCATTGTCAAGCTTAACCTGGCTTCAGGTCAAGCGAAGAAAGATGCGCGGCCCTCAGCCCTAAGATGCCCTGAGCCCTTGCCTGATAGGGCACGGTTTGGCCTTCCGGCCACCCTGGCTCGTGGTACTGCTGCTTCACCACAGTGCCCGACTGGAAGCCGTCCACATTGCACCTCATCGGCGTCCGGCGCCTCGCACCCTCACCCCTCGCGGCCCTGAGGCTCCTCACTCCACACGGTCCCCCACAGAGAAGCGCAGGTCCGCCTGGAGAGAGTGAAACCCTTCCCTGCATTGCCTTTGAAAGCCACGCAACTGACTGCTCTTGATATTCCTTTTGGGTGCTGATCACCCAATGCCTTTTCCTGATGTATGACAAAATGACTGCCAATGCGTTCATATCTCATAACTCCCTGTCTGCAACGCGTCCAAGAATCTCAGCTGAAATTTGAGGATGAATTCACCAACCATCCTTGTTGAACATCACCTCAACTGCAACACTGCTCACATGTCCCCACCTGCCGAGCGAGAGACGTCCTGAACGCAAACTTAAAAAAAAAAAAAAAAAAAAAAACTTCTGGCACAATCTTCCAAGTGCGCTTCCTGTGCTCTTCTGCTGTGGAAATTGGTGGGGCAGCTAAATGCAGCGAGCAAACAAATCTGCAACTTTTACTCCTCGCACGTCTGTCCTTCGCTTCTGGCTTCTGCGTAGTCCGGCCAGGCTCCCCTAAGCGCAATGCACATGTTTGGGCACGTTCCTGCCTCCGGGTGCCGGGCCAAAATGCCCCATGTTTGGGCCTGAGTCGCACAGCTCCCCCTGGGTTTTCAGTCTTCGACTTTCAGCGAGTGGCTCGGCAAACTGAGCTCGGGGATGAAGCGACGGCCTAAGTGGTGCCGCCGTCGTGCCCAACGAACCCGCGCAAGCCGAGCGCGCAACTCTGCGACCTCGCCAAGAAATAGACGCGAGAGTTACATGGCCCGACATGGCCCAGGTTGCGGCCTGTGCCCAAAGTGCTTGGAACTGCGTGCCCTCGGAATGGAGATGTCGAAGCCCGTCTGGATGCCTGGCTCGCTTGCCTAAAGGCGCCCCCAAAGAGGCAAGCTAAGCATCAATCCAATTGCCTCACACTCCGGCCTGCAAATGGTTCACGAAAGCGATTGCCATGGCACGAAGTACAAGGACTGCCAGCAAAATATATTTCTCATTGCTGTTGTGCGCCTATACTTGGAAAAAGTAAGCGAGCATGCGACATGGTTATGCATCATCTACTTGCATCTACTTTCAAATTGTGCTGATAGGCCACCACATAAAGTCATCACGTCACAAGCGACGTGAGGCACAGTTCGGGACATTGCATCATCGCATTCCAGCTTGTGGGCTCAAAGGAACATCAACAACCCATCAACCACCTGAGGCCATGTTTGGCCAAATTAATTGCGCAACTGCCAATCGCAAAATGAATTTGGCCAAACATGGAATTAGTGAGGTGGTGAGTTTCTTTACAATGGAGTGGAAAGTACGAACATTTCCGCTTCAGGTTCACGCTTTCGCACAGCGGACCGGCAAATCTCGCGCAGGACAAGAGGCGAAACTGCAACTTGACTATTCAGACAACGCATGGCCGCACGACTGTGGGAAGTTGGCAGATCTTTAATTTAATAAGATCATTGTTGTTCTCGCGTTTTTTGCCGCCAAGCAGAAACGTGAAATGTTGTGAAACCGATCCACGCCACGCCTCCTGGAAAAGAGGGAGGAGGTCAAGGAGGGGCCCAGGCTCACTGTGCAAGCCAGCTAGCAGTTCGTGCGCAAAACGGTAGAGTGCGGGAGGCACGCACGATCTTACTCACGCCGACAGTGGAGCGAAATCCGCCCGGCAGAGCAGCAGGCAAGCTTCGCAAGAGCGCGCGGCCCGCCCAGGCTCGGCACGCAAGCCCAGGCCGCTAGTTCGTGCAAGGAGGAAACGGCCGGGGGCACGCCCCAACCATAGTTTTCCTCCTAGTTTTCGCCCGCACGCAGCCTGCATCGATACTTTGGCGTTGCCTTGGAAAGCTCAGCGTGAAAAGGGATGAAACGGAACAGTGCAAAGAGCGTTGTCTGAGCCAACAGCTGCGCGGGGCGAGGAGGAAGAGCTTCCAGCCTTCCGCTGAGCTCGGGTCTCGCTGTACCTCGGTCAGGCCGGCGGCCAGCGCGGTCTTCAGGGCACCGCGCATTGGGCCGGGAGGCGACTGCAGCGTGTGACTCTCCTGCGCAACTCGTGCGCCAAGTCGACCTCTCGCATGGCTTGGAGAGGGTCGCGCTGCTCGCCGGCGCTCGGTGGGGCCGGGGGGGCGACTGCGTTTGCCGGCGCTGCCTGCGCGTCGGCTTCGCCCTCTGCGTAGCCATTTTGGCTCAAGGATTGTGGCTCAAGGCTCAAGCTCGAGTCTAGGGTTGCCCTCCCTGAACTGCCACATGGACTTGCTGTTCCGCGTGGGGTGGGCGCTGGCGAGATGGGGGGCCAAACGCGCGGAGGAGACCGCGCACACGGTGGCCCAGCTCGCCCACGCGGTTTTCGTGTGCGCGGGGGGCGCCCCCCGCTACTTCCCGCCTGGTTGGGGGCCACTGTGTTCGTGCGACGGCAAAGGCGGCCTGGAGGAGGTGGCCAGAAGGGCGGCTGCGGCGGCAGTGGCGGCCTTCCGCCGCCGCTGAGGCCACTGCAGTTTTCCCTGAACCCCCGGCTTTTAGCCTGCGGTGGCCGCATATCGCGGCCACCGCCGACCATCCCCGAGCCCGCAGTAAAAAAGTGCGCTTGCAACGCTCGAGGAGGGAAGGGGGGTGGGGCCGGTCGAGGGCGGACAACAGCACGAGAGCACTGCAGCCCGCAAGAAGGCGCCAGGGGCCCGCAAACCCGTGGGCCTCCCTGCGGGTCGGGGAGGCCAGTAACCCTGGACCGGTTGCGCCAGGGCGTCGCAAGCGCGCCCTTCACGCACTGGCGCAGATGTGCCTGAACCCGACCGAGAACGTCGAGTTCTACACGCCACGGGCCGGCGAGGAGCGCCAGTGTGGTGGCACAGCCCACGCAGGGCGGCCAGTGGACAGTGGAACGGACACGCCCCCGTCATCGGTGGAAGGCGTCGCGCCGGCGTCCTGGACACGCCGAGGGCCGCCGCAGCACCCCCAAAACGCTCCCCGGTCCTGGTTGTTTGTGCCCTTATTGCTGGACGCGGCCGGCCAACTCCAAGTGGCCGCGTCCGCCGCGTGGCGGAGCCATGCTGTGCTCGGCGCGCATTGGGGGAGCTGGCTCGCGCAGCTGCGCGGCGCGCCCCCTGTCGCGCTGCCCGCGCTGCCGTATCACTGCACCAGGCTCTGGATGCGAGGCCCGTGCAATGGTGGCCCCACGAAGCGTTTGAAGGCGCTGTTCGCCGGCGCTCGGTGGGGCCGGGGGGGCGACTGCGTTTGCCGGCGCTGCCTGCGCGTCGGCTTCGCCCTCTGCGCGCCTCTGGCGGCGCGGGCGTCTGCGGCGGCGTGGGGCGGCAAGCCGGGCCGCCGCTGCAACCGCCGCATTGTCCTGGGGCGCCAGGGTCGAGCTCGGTGGCAGCGCGAAGCAAAGCGGCCAGGCAATCCGTCCCAGCTCGCGCTTGCAGCGCGAACTGGTACGGCCTGGTGGCCTCATCGCAGCCGGGCGAGCGTGCGGGCGACCAGGCGACGAAAGGTGTCGCCAGTTGCAATGCCCCTCACTCCGCCGCTAGTCGCTGACATCCGGCACGGGCCCATCAAGATTGTGCGCGCCGGCTCCGGGCAGGGCAAGAAGGCTGGTGGCATACGCCCGCGCGGCGCAAAAGAAATGAGGGCCGACCACCGGGCGCGGCATGCTGCAGCACAAGAGGCTTGCACGTCATCTGGCACAGAGCGGGCGCGGGCCCGGGCAAGCGAGCTGACAAACTGTGCGGCCTCAGCGCTCCAGCGGCCACCAATTTCAAGTCCGACAACGACAAGGCGGCAGCGATGAGACGAAAGGAGCTCCCGGCGCGTGGCCGGCGGAGTGCAGGGCCAAGACCAGGGTCGTGTCAACCGCAAGCTGCCCGCCTCCCCAGAGAAGAAGGTCCAGGGCACGGCATTCTGCTGGCGAGGTCGGCTCCCGCACTTGCAGCGTCCGCCGTTCCTGCAATCTCCGCAGCGAGGCTGGCTCCGCCGCACAGCTGCAACAGCGCTTCCTGGAAGGGCGCCAGCAAGTAGCCATCCGGGGCCTGAGCGGGGGGCTGCAAGGCGCGTCGCCCCGCATGCGACCCTTTCCAAGCCATGCGAGAGGTCGACTTGGCGCACGAGTCGCGCAGGAGAGTCTACACGCTGCAGTCGCCTCCCGGCCCAATGCGCGGTGCCCTGAAGACCGCGCTGGCCGCCGGCCTGACCGAGGTACAGCGAGACCCGAGCTCAGCGGAAGGCTGGAAGCTCTTCCTCCTCGCCCCGCGCATGTTGCTATATCGCGGGCGTGGGGAAACGCGCGTGCCACGCGCGGAGCTAGACAAGCGGGTAGCGCTGCTCGCCGCGGGGCAGTGCCGCGACCTACTTGACAGGCGGCCGGCAGCGATGCGCCTGGCCCGTCACGCACCAACGCAGCAGACGACGACGCGCAGCGGCGCGCGGACGGTCCCAGGATAAACAAGCCGTCGTGCACAGCTGGGAGGCGGGCCCAGTATAAACAAACCGCTGCTGGGGCGGTGAGCCCAGGATAAACAAACCCACCCGGCCTTCCTCCCTGGCCAGGAGGGGGTCGAAACAAGAAGAGGAAAAAAAAAACAAGAACAAACAAGAAAAGGCCCGGGGGGACCGTCCCCAAGACCGTGATCAACGGTCAACCGCCTTGGGGGACCGGCCCCGTTATCAACGGTCAACAGCCTGGGGGAACCGACGTTTGCCGCAGGACCGTTCCAGTGTTCACCAGCGGTCAGCCGTGCCATGTCCGCGCCTGCTGCATCAGGGCCCGAGTTTGTGCCCTCCTCGCCGGAATTGCGTTCTGGCACCCCGCGCGTTGGCACGCACGAGGCGGTCACCGTGGCTACGCCTCCCTTCCCGAGTGGGGAAGTCACCCCGGGCTTCGAGCCATGCCCGCCGCAAAATGTAGATGTTTGCCCTGCTTGCCTTGACCCGGTTGTGCCGGAGGGGGCCGGCCCGGCCACGGCATGCCGCTGGCCTGTATGTGGGCATTCATACCATGCCTTGTGCCTTGCTCGTTCCCGTGCTCACGTGCAGCGCATGCAGTGCGCCCTATGCAGGCAGGGTTGGCGACCGGCCTTTGACAGCGACCTTGAAGCCTTATGTGGCCAGCTTGGCATTGATTGGCACGCCCTGCAGCTGCATGACCCTGTGCCTGTCCAGCCCGCGCCCTCTCCCGGTGTTGCTTTTGATGACGCTGACGTTGCTATGGCCCCTGCGGCCCCCGAGCTTGATGCTTTTGTTACCTCAGCTCCCGTTGCGCCTGCGAATCTTGTTGAGCCAGCGCCTCAGCCAGCGGTAGGTCCTCACACCTGGACAGCTGCCCGGCCCCCCCTAGAGCAGAGGGCCAAGTGCCTCCGGTCAACAGTTGGTTCTTCGTGCCGCTCCTTCTTGCCGGCGGAGGCCTGTTGCTCCAAAATGCAGAACGCCAATGGTCAGCTCATCCCGTTCTCGCCGTCGGTTGGCAGGCGGCTGTGTCTCAACTCCGTCGTTCTCCGCCGGTGCCTCTGTCTCGGTTCCTGTCTGTCCTTGAGACCCTGCAGGATGTTGCTGCCTTGGATGGTCGACGTGTTCCTGCGGCCGAAGCCTTGCTGGTGCCGGCGCTCCGTGAGGCAGGCGCTGCCTTGCCGACCCACACGCTTGTGCATTTTCGGTGGGTGTTGGAGCGATGCCTTACACCGCACCCGCCTCCGCTCAGGAAGCGTTGCTGCAAGTCTTCCTCAGCGAGCGTGTTGCTTCTGACTTGTCTGTGTTGGCTGATCGTTTGCGTTCGGGCGCTCAGCCCGCGCCACCGGTGGTCCCGCTGCAGCCCGCTGCGCTGACGGTACCGGACCAGCCGCTTCCGGCAACCGAGCGTGACCCCTCCCCAGCTCTAGTCGCCCCACCTGCGCCGAGCCCCCTTGCTGCCTCTCAGCCTGCACGCCTGCCTCCTCTTGGCTTCCCGGAGGAGGACGTTGGCTTCGGGACTCCCGTCCCCGTCGCCCAACCGCCGGCAGGCACGCCTCTTCTTGGTTTTCCCGA